AAAAAAAAAAAAAAAAATTCAAGTCAGTCAACCCTTTGAAAACCTGTAATGTAGTGAATCGCAAAACTGAGATGACTGATAAACCTAATTTTTGATTTTGTTAGGTGTCTCAAAACTTATCACTTTTATTTAGTGGTATAGTTCTGCTGCAAAACGGTATATAAGATGATCAAAATTATTGCTTTATAGAAGCACTTAGTTGCCCTTGAAAATTTCTGATTAGACGCAGAAATGAACAAGCGCATAGGCGACTGCTAGTTAGCGCAGACAAAAACAGAGCCACTGCTGTCAAATTAAATAAATTGAGGAACGATAACTAATGGATTGCGATTCCTATAACTAAAACTTCTATTCTAATGACTGAAATGTATGTTAAAGAACAAGCGTGAAATATTACGAATCGAGAAAAACAACATTAAATTTATGGAGACATTATTTACACCAGATTTATATAATAGACCCCAGTAAAGGCGAAATGTTGCAACAAATAATCACAACAATCTAGAAATCAGATTTTTTCAAATAGCAGAAGAAAAATATCTGAATAAATCATCACCATTTGAAAGAAAATTAGTATTTACACAAAATTAAAAGAGGTACAATTATCAGTAATGTAATAAAGCAAAAACTTTTGTCCACAATGCCAAAATTTGGCAGTTGATGAGTACCGTCGTCAGCCTTTTTTAAAGTTATGACCGATAGTTATTTAATGAGCTCTCCTCCCACCATTTCTTCAAACACCTTAAATAAAACATTTGTGCAAATTTTTCAAAGATCTTTTCAGTAGAGATCTTCAAAAAGTTTTTGTAAGACATGAAGACTTTAACCAGATGCAGGTAGTTCGGCTTTTTTTTCAAAGTACCCAGATTTTATACAGTTGTGTTGCTGTTAACTAACAGCTTTCAACTTTACAGTTACCAAAGTCTATAGACCTCAAACTGTCTTAAGATAACAGCTTGTAATTATCTGTGCCATCTAAAAGTTAATGAAATTTACAGCTTTGTTTATGAGGCATAGTTTAAGAAGTTAAAACGCTGCTTGGCAAAAAACGTCTATAATCATCTCTATTATTTAGTAAATTATTATAGCAGTAGTTTTAAATATTGAAAAGCAAAGTGTATATTTATAATGTTTACTGCCATAGAATGATGTTTATTTTAATTTGGAAAACCGTAATAAACTCACTTCGATAACATCATCCTCCCTCAGCCCTAAACTTCTAGGCGTATGTTCGTCCCGTATATGAAGACCGTCAAAAAGGAAACGAATTGTATCTACCGAAACTCCGTTTCGAGTAGCATAATTTTTCATAAGCTGCCCCATTGGAGTTTCATAGTTTACCCGAAAATCTATTTCGCTCGAATCCTAGAAGCTTAAGATGATTTTTGACATAGAGTGTTAAAGTCACAGCAGTAATTTGGTTTAAACTTTATTGTTTATCTTACCGGGCCGATGACTTTCAGTTTAATACTACTGTCACCTGATCTTGGTGCAGGTGCAGTAAAACCTCCTTGACCTGCCGGTGTTTGGCTTCCAAACATATTCAGGTTCTAAGTTTCTGACCACATAAATAAGCTGATTGAATAAAAATTACACTATAGTCATAAAAAACACACTTCACAAATAATCTTTGCCAGAGCTTTAGCATTGAAACCAATGTTATACAAAGTAACAGTGTAGTGCTTTTTTGAAAATGCTTGACAAGAGTTACAAATTAATAAACAGCTCAAAGTATTGTAAAAAAATGGCAAACGACAAAAGACTTCACATTTATAAAGGACTTCACATTTGCAAAAATTTACACTTTATGATCCTGATAAGTTGACACACGTTAAACTAAACTGCACATTATCAGTGCTATAATTCTTACTGATATCAGACCAGCGCTGACTTTTTAAAAAGTTATATGTAAAATAAAACATATTAGACAAATAATAATTAATTTTTTGTTTTTTTTTTCACCACTAATATAGCATTATCAACACTGAGTAAACAAATCTAAATAAGAATTTTATCTGTTTTTGAACACTGCTTTCCCAGCCTTTTGCCAGCGACTTTTTCAGGATACATGTTACTGAAATTCTTTTGAAGTACGTTCAAAATAAAATTGACTAAATATTTTTTTACTGCTAACAGGCTTACCTGTAACCATGACTTGATGATATGCATCTAGCTCATTCATACTTGACTGCTACTGTAAACACAATAAATTTATCTAAATTGAACATTTCAAAACACATTTTTGATTTGTTTAATTCATCGTATACTTTGCAAAGAACTACCACTGACTACTGTAAATAAACTGTAAATTCCACTTTGTTTTCATCTGTAACATTTTCTACAAGAATTACCTAATTTGTTAGCAACACAACACCAGTTTTGATTTCACCAGTAAAGGCTTTGCTGTAAAACTTTTTACACTAAAATTTCAAACCTACGAGAAACCTGAAATGCTACGGTTTGAATTGATCGAGCACCTCATTAGATAGAATCCTTCTCAACGCAATAAAGTGTGGGTCTGAAAAAAAAAAAGGATAATGTGGATAGGGAATAGCGTGAAAAGTGCATATCCGAATTGCCCCAGCTTTTACAGTTTTTCATAGCTGACATAATCATAAACATGAGCCTCGGAACATAAAATCGCTTATTTCTTCTACTGATAATTATGAATTTCTTTAAGTTTAGCTGTCAGTTTCTGAAAACTAAATTTGTAAAGTTTACATCTTCAACTCATCCAGGAAGAAACCAACTTCTTCCCAAAGTAATCAGTTTTTGCACCTTTCATTTGGAAGATGAGCTATGAGCTACCTTACAGAATTGTAACTTCAACTGCTCTCTGCGGGGTCAATTAGATGAAAAACTTGTTTAAAGATCTGGTATTTTTATAAAAAGGAACTTTTTATGAAACTAAATTTCTTCAACGCAACCCATTTCAGTTGCAAAGTAGAAATTTCCACTACTTTATTGAATTTTAGTTTTCTTCTGAAAAAATTTGTAGAGCAAATCCAGCGAATTTACAAAACAGATGTCAGAATTTATGACCTAAAAAAATTCTATGTTATCTTATTCGCCTGAGTATTCCTCTCCACCAGGCTGCGGTGCTTCATTAACACTTGCTACCATATTACAAACCGCAGAATCCTCCCTGTCTGTCCTTAGATCTTTTTTCGTATGACTTGAAGAATTTATGTTGTAAAATTAATTTTTTGCCAAGTGGATATCAAGTGAAATTGTTTTAAGAATACTTCAAGTACAAACAGGGATACAACCGGAATAAAGCTAGTTAAAATTTAATCTTTCGAGCCC